TTGGATCTCCCCTAGATTTACACAGGAAAGCACTGGTAGATCATAAAACCTCGAGCTGTCTTTTCATTCAAATGTATCTGAGATTAAAGGCAAGACCTCCCCAAAATACAGAAATAATCTGCTAATCAGTTTGACCAAATAGATGACATAAATCTCCTGAGCTATTTTAAGTTCAAAGGACATAGCCATTTTGACACCACAAAGATCAAACCCACAATACCTCATAAACTGGCGACTCTCAGATCTTGCAGACATTGGATGGTAACAATTGCAAAAACATTTGTTGTGCAGTCTCAGACTATGGCTATTAAAAGACAACGCCAGCAGAGTTTGGCTTGTATCACTCCCAGCATATCACATTTCAAGATGACAGAATAATTCTTTTTACCAAAACAAGCAAACAAAGTTTCGCTACTCTTTAAACTTGACAACAGTTCATTTCTGGCCTTTCACATGCTAAGGTGAATAATTTGCATTTATTAATATTTTTCATGTCTGTTTCTTTGTCTTATTCAAGTATGCACACTGCGTGGTCTTTTCAGTACCTGTATAACTGACTGCTTAGGACTGCATTTTTAAAGGTACACCAGCAAACACCCTCAGCAAAAAGAGAGGAAGTATAACTGTTCTTTCCCAGTCAGGTGACTTCAGAGTAACCTGCCAACGTACTCAAAAATAGGCAATTAAGAAACAATAAATCAATCTAACTCAGATAAACTACTTGAACAGAATTCCACAGGGTAGGGAAAAAGAGAAAAGAAAAAACATTCTCTTCTGGTAGCCGTAGAAAAACATTCTCAGCCTGTAGCTGAGTGATTGAAAAAAATCTCACAAAAATTACTCAGTCTTGAATTGCTGCCCACGTGGCCTGGCTTTACTGGTAGTGGTTGCAGGAATTTAACTTCAAAACCAGAATAAAAATAAGAGCACAGAGCTGAACAGCAAACTCAGGGAGAGAGGTAGATCTCAGTTTAAAATTCTGTTACTTTTAACTGTCAGCTGCTTAAGTCAAGTCAAAGGGACTTCTCCCCTCTTACAATGAAACACTGATACTGCTTTTATCATTTTCTGACTATAAATCATAGAATCATAGAATAGTTATAGTTGGAAAGGACTTTAAGATCATCAAGTTTCAACCCCCCTGCCATGACCAGGGACACCTCACAATAAACCGTTATCACCTAAGGACTCGTCCAACCTGGCCTTGAACACTGCCAGGGATGGAGCATTCACAACCTCCCTGGACAACTCATTCCAGGGCCTCACCACCCTAACAGGAAAGAATTTCCTCCTTATATCCAATCTAAACTTCCCCTGTTTAAGTTTTAACCTGTTACCCCTTGTCCTATCACTACAGTCCCTAATGAAGAGTCCCTCACCAGCATCCCTATAGGCCTCCTTCAGATACTGGAAGGCTGCTATGTGGTCTCCATGCAGCCTTCTCTTCTCCAGGCTGAACAGCCCCAACTTTCTCAGCCAAAAGGTCCAAGGAACTCATGTGCCATGATTTTTTTTTCTTAATTTCAAAAATTTCCAAATTTCTGTCAAGTATCCTCTTCGGCAAGTCACCCACTGCTGTCAGAAACAGTATCGGGGCCTGTAGGCACACCTCCAGCATGGGAGCTGTACAGCCCCCAACGAGGGTAGCTGAAGGGAAAGTTTTGGTGTGTGAGCACAGAGACAGTAGCCCTTACAGCAAAGCAAATTAGCATTGCAGTATTTTGTCACTTCCTGTGCCAATAAATTCAAGAAAAGCACATCAGGTCACAAAGCAAAGAGGTTTCCCATCTCTGTGAGCATCACCAAGATTTTTCCTCTGCTGTCCCACTAGCTTATTTACTTCTAAACTGCTCCTGGCTAAAAGTGACTGGGTGGGGCTCCCTTCAGAGTTTATCCATGTCATTTCCAAATATAGCCAGAAGGGACATGAGAGAATGATACGAGATGTACTTTCCACTTCTTTCCTTCTCTGCTAGCAGTGGAAAATGGCCTTCATAACCTAGCAAATATTTTCTGTCTCTTATTTCCATCCTGTTATGTTTTGCAGGAATTGAATGAAGTGCTTACACAGAGCTCATTGCCAGTTTCTGGACTAAAAGGAATGCACTGCCCTTTCTCTTAGGTCCCCCATTTTGCCTTTTTGTTTTCTTTTTCTTTTTTGATGACCATACCATTCATTTTACTCTCTTTTGCAGCCCTGTTCCTACAAGTTCGTGATTCTTACAGAACTTTATTGAAGGTCCTGGAATCCTAAACCAAACTGAAAGACTACATTTAAATTTAAACATGCATCTCTGTTACTCATCACCTAGACAAACACACAGAGAAGAAAAAATTACCATAACACAGAACAGTACAGGAAATACTGAGGGGATGCTTCCTTCTCCCTAATGTTCCCCCGGCTTCCAATATCTTCTGTCAACATCTTCTATTGATATCTGCTAAGGCTATAACTCATGTTTCTGCTTGATGATGCTTTTTAAACATCCAGTGTGAAGAGTTGTGCTTTGTTCTGTAACTGACCAACATGGTCCTAGGCACTTGGATAACTAGCTGTTCTTTTCCTCTTAATCCTGTTTCACATTAAGAAGTCACTTTGAGAACAAACCGAGGTGTTGAAGCGGGATGAAGACATACATTTTTCATTTCTAATGTTTTGGAGATGGATTTTCTGTTCAGGAAACCAGGTACCATTTTCTTTGTTAATGTGCTTCTTGAATTAGATCCAGGAGACATCCTCCTCATTGTCTCTCAGCCTTTGTGTTTACTGTTGTAGATGGGAGACGGGTCTTTAAAGATAGCAGTTTTCTGAATTAGGGAACTGCATAGTGTTATAAACTACATCTCATTAGAGATTAGAGAAAAGGAGGGAACTAAAACCCAGGTGTATAAAGAGTTGTATGAAAAGTATGCTCATTGTCTAAAATTACAAAGCATTTTCACTATCTAGCAGAAAAATTAATTATTCTGCCAGGAAACCGGCTAAGAGACAGCCTTCCATCATTAAATTCTTGCAGATACCAAGATGTTATTTTCTTCAAGTTAGAGTAGAATCTGCCCTATTTAAGAAAAGTCTATTTAAAAGGAGGTGTGTCCTAGAGTTCAACTGCTGGCATATACTGTACTTGGCAAACTTTTGCTGGAAAAGGCAAGTCCCACAATATCAAATTACTTTATTAATATGCATAATTCTAAAAAAAAATTTTAAATAAAAATTGTGATTTCCCAGAAAGCTATGAGAGAACACTTGCCACAGTTTCCATTACCAGTGCTGCTTCTTGGCCTGAACTGCCTTTCTGCAAGTTTTGTTGCATCTCTGTACAACAGAGGTTTGCATTAATATGACACAACTAGTTAGTCTCCTGGCTGAAACAACTCATTGTTGAAAGCACTTCTCACCCTGTTTTGAGTATGGTTTGGAGCAGAAGGCTGCCTGTCCATACATTAATACCTGCTTCTGGTTTCCAGTTGTTCTTTGAACTTGCTTATGCTTGTATAAGTTCTCACCTGTAGAAACTGGAATAATCCTTAAAAGCTTATCTTCTGGAGTTAGGATCATGATGACCGAAGAACATCTTGTATTTTCTGATGTAGTTTGCTATGGCTGATTAGAGATCTAACAAAACAGCTTTTGTCAGTGGTCTGATTTTGTTAGTTTGTCTTAGAGTAGCACAATTCTCCATGCATTCATATGTTTAAATAACCACTGTATTCCTTAATTGAGTGTCTTTTATGTAATTGCATTTGGAAAAAATATATATCTTTTGTAAAGTTAAGGAGCTATACATATTAGGTCATCATAGTACTGATATTCATTTTATGAAAACCTCTTTAAACACTTATGTATTCAGCCACAGCTTGTTTGTACTCAAGCCAATTCAATACAGATGGGACATAAAACTTTCTGATTTTATTTTTGGTATTTGACATACTCTACACTGATCTCCTCAAAATGCAATGAAAACAAACAAATAAAACACCCCAATCCCATACAAAGAAAACACATCGAAAATAATTTAGAGAATAGTCCTCTTGGTTGAACAGATTGAACATAAGTGTTTTGCTGAATTTCATGTTGTGTTATAAAATAAATTTGAGTCCTAGTAATATACATTCTAGGTTATTTGCCCAGTAGATTAAACAAACATAAATATTGAGTGATTCAACTGAGCAGCCAGAGCTGGCTGGGGTGAGTAGCATGTTAACAGATATTGGGGCTCTAAGAGACGCCAAAAAAATTGTGCCTGAGTAAGCTTGCTAAATTACTCAGCAAATAAAACCTCACTAAATGCTATTTTTCTAAACACCTAAGTTACTTATTTTACTAAGGGCTCACCTGAGAATCTTCCAATGTGATTAAAACTCCTCATGGGTCACAGACAAATTTACTAAATTTATGGAGAGGAATACTGGGAGGGTAAGGTGCCCTTCCATGGAGTCAAGACCAGAAAGCCACCCCCAGGTAGGTTAGAATAAGACAGGAAATATAATTTCTATTGTGCTAACTGTTGTCTCCGACAGCTCTCACAAGTGTTCACATTTTATTGACTTGAAGAGATATGATTTATTTCTGTGTTTAGGTATTGTTCCTTCAAAGAATGCTTTATGGAAAGGTACTATTAAACTGCACAACTATACTAAGCATATAACATTGCTGCTAAAGCTCTCTATAAGTAGTCTTTCATATCGTATTTAATGTCGCTGATCTGTACAATGAGTCCCAGACTCAGTGTCTAAATGAATTTCCCAAAGACACTCTTCAAACCATATGTAATGTACAGTAAGTAACTCTTCTGTAAATTATCTGGGAACATACTGCAGAACAAGTCTCAAGAGAAAAACAAGGGCTGAAATATTTTCTCATGCACCTTCCATCTGGGTGACATTCCTCTCTCATTCCAGATTTGCCCCCAGCCTGACCAAATGGATTCTACCGTTTTGCATCCACATTTGTTTGTTTTTGCCTCCTGTTGATATTCATGAGAGCTGTTTCCAGTACCGTCTCAGAATCATCTTAATTTTGGCTGAGGTTTCTGCGTGTTCAGGTTCCAAGGAGGATGGGGAGAACACAAGCTGCCTCAAATTGAAGGAATCAATTTTCATTTCTGAAGTCAGACAGGCTTTCATTTGTTGCCTATTGACTCCATAGAGAGATAATAATAATGTTGCTACTTTCAGTGAAAAAGATCGTTACCAAGGAAAATGCACTCAGTCAAGAAAGATGCCAGATCTCCTCTTCCCCAGACCACTCTTCTTCCCGAGTCACAAGCTGAGCTCTCTCCAGAAGCACTGTTTGCTACCTGGCTAGCTCAGTCAGAGCGCTGGGTCATAAAGAGGGTATGAATCTTTTTGTGCACATGTCCAACAAGCAGAGAGAAAATGACTGTACACAGGCCTTCTCCAGAGGCCTGCCACATCAGCGGGTGGAGGAGCTGGCAAAGCGAGTGCTCATGTCTTGCCAGCCTGAGGAGTCACCATATGTTTGGCTGCCACCCATACAGCCAGCAAACCTTGGGACAAGGCATTCAGACTCTTCTCATCAGCACAGATGGACATCCAGCATTTTCAGGCCTCAGCCAAGCTTTAAACAGACAGTGCCGGAACCACTGGGCTCAATGAAATCAGCTCTGCACTAAGAGAGTCTACCCCAGTCCGCATCAGCCTCAGATGAATCCTACCTGATAAGGCAACAGACACCTGGCAGGATTTACCAGTTACAAATTACTAGGTCCACCAACGACCTAGGCAATTCATCCAGAAAGGCATGTTTGACATCCAGCTAAGTGCCCCCAGACAGTACCTTCTCTGAGGTGCAAAATCCCTGTAACACAGGGCAGAACATTATTACTCTCTAAGCACTGTCTGGGACTTTTCCCTGCCTTTCCTTTTTCCATGGAAATCTGAAAGAGAATAAGTATTTACCTTTTTGCTCAGTTTAAAATAGATTATTAAACTAATAACAGACTTTTGGAAGGCTTCCCTCAAGTTTCAGGGAAATAGTACCTATTCTTATTCTCTCACATGCTAATTAAAGTTGATACTGTTGGTACACGGTTTGCTGTACTATTGAAGCCTTATTTTCAGTGAAACACTACCATTAAATTCTTACTCAACACAACAGCCTTTCAGACTCCTTTCTGACATATTTTAACACGCTTTCTTTTGCCTATATCCTGTATTTAAGATTGCAGTTAATGATGCGCATGCCTTTGCCATAAAGCAGTTTCCCTGTGGTACGAAGGGGATGAGGTAATTTACTATGATACATGCAAAAATGCAGAACTACATATGCTGACAAATCTTCACTGTCGCTCCACACAGTTAACGTGAACTGCTGCATATTCTCTCCGAGTGTTTTGTTGTAGGCTTTTGTAAACAATGCTGAAGAAATCTGTGTTGAGTAGTAAATAGTATCAGATCATACCATTGCTGTCCACCCACGCTGGCACGAAGCCACCGAGTTTTCAGCTGTTTAAAAATGTTTTCAATGACAAATCTCTTTGCTATTTCTCATATTAACTTATGCACTCAAACGTGTAGCATTTACTTTGCTGCTCTAAGTACTACAGTGAGATGAGAACCATAGGAGAAGGAGAGACTTGAATTTTTGTTGCCCCTCAACAGTCACATCTACACTTGTGGTTTTGTTTCACAGACTTTTAAGATCATAAGGCATGGTTGTGATAGCATAACTTGATTCCTGAAAACAGTGCAAATGCCATTCAACTGTTGCACCAGTGAAACTGTAATGCCCAAATTATATTATCTTTCTGAAGGATTTTAAATTACAGGACTTTCCAAAAAGTCATCAGGTATAAGCTCCCACAGCAACAACAAAAAAAAAAAAAAAACAAAATCCACCCTGAGGATGTATAAGGATTTTAACATCAGTCACTGATACTTTGAAAACATGATAAATAGTTCACTTCACCACAAATATTTTTCTAGTCTGGCTACAAATCAGCATGCTCTTTTTAGTTAGGTGACCTAATTATTGTAAGAATTCAGGAAAGCCAGATGGGTCAAAATAAGACCAGGTGGTCTCAAGCCTGCCAATTTACCAAGCTTATGTTTCCATTTTATTTGAATAAAATATGTCCATCATTCTTTGTCAGAGATGCACTAAGTTGCTGTGGTTGTTTGTCATCATTTGTATAAAAGCCAGCCAGGTTACCTGTCAGTTTGCAAATATTGTGGATAACAGGCATTACCTGAAGCAGCACAGATCTGATCAACAAGAAAATTGGATTTTCTTTTTTTTCATTTTTTTTTAACACGTTCCTTTCCTTTTTGTCTTGCACACTACTATAGTACTTTGGAAATGGATTTTTTTCCACACACTTTCTCACACACAGGTAGTACCTTCAGCTCATTAGACCACAAGATTCTGACAATTAGCTTTCTCCAGGGCATCAGCAGTCAGGCTTTCTCACTACCCCATCCAGGATTAAATAGAATGTCCATGAATCGTCCATGTAAAGTTGATTAGCAAGCTTACATGTGCATCCCCTTCCATTTCAACCATATTTTACAGCAATGCACTTTTAAGCATGTAATAAATCTGCTTATGTGTAGAGATTGCAATCATTTCATTTCAAGACCAGCTGGAACCTGTGAAAAGGAGACATAAACACAATCCTTTCTCATACAGACTTTGCTTATTTTCCTTGTCTTAGTTTGTTTTTTTTCTGTACATAATAGTAGATAGCCTTAATTCTCCTTCTGAGATCTAAATATGATCATTGCTGAAGTCTTATCTTTTTAAAAGATAAAGACACTGAGTTATGTAGAGTTATTATAGCCACAGTACCACATGTGGGAGGCTGTTTCATTTTCCATACACAGCAGCAAGAATATTTCCTTTCTTTTTAAGTCATAATTCATGGTTTATATTTAACATTGCCATGGTGATCCTAGGACACTGCCTTACTAGCTGGAAACCAGTCTTGCCAAGCGGGTAAATACTGCAATTCAAAAATACCAGTTTCCACTCAATAATATAGCACCAAAAAACCTCAAAGGTATCACTGTCCACATTTGCTGTAAAAAACTCTGTGGATTTTACATGCAGGGAGCTCTCCTAGCCACACAGGACAGCATGGCTCTCCAGTCCCTTTACTCCCTATTGCTAGTTTTACTTTCCCCCCCCCAGAAAAAAAACATCATTCAGTGTTTCAATGAGATGAAGGGCATTAGCATCCAAACCAGTGAGAGAAGGGACAAGACAATGAGGGAATGATTTGAATGAAGCAAATAGGAGGTAGGCTTCCTCTCACACTGATTTTCACAGCTAAACACACAAAAGAAAATATGTACCTTTTAACAGAGTGGGAGCTATAGAACTCATGTTCTTTCTGCGAAATACGTAAGAAGAACTTTACACTTGACAGAGAATGTCCCACCTGAACCAGTCAGTGAGAAAAGATGATGGAAGCATGGATTAAACCTCCAGTCTACAGGGAAAGATGGCCATGCCTGAACCACTTAGGCCATGGATTACTGTCAGAGAACCCCTAAGGCACTGAGTTCAGAGTCCATCACCCAAAATGTTGGCAGGAAGCCCAGATCCTGCAGCCTGCCTGGCACTCCATGCTATCATAACTATCTTCTTAGCAGTGTTCAAACTACAACAGTTGCATGCTCACCAGTGACCAAGAGCATAGGTCTGCAGCAACCAATGCCAGCAAAGAACCAGTTACACTATACTAAGGACTCACCTCTGAAGCATCATGCATGCCATCATGAGCAGGCCATTAGTTTTCATCCAGATCTACCCCTTGAGCTGCTCCCCATTTTGTTGTCCTGGGCTCAGCAGTAGCAGTCATTTTTCTCTTTCTTGGTAGCTGGTGCAGTGCTGTGATTTTGACTTTCGGCCTGGGAACGGAGCTGATAACAATGATGTTTTGATCTGGCCAAGGACTTTGTGAGCCTCATGCTCTGCCAGGGAGGAGAGGAAGTCGGGAGGAAGCAGAGACAGGACACCTAACCTAAACTAGCCAAAGAGGTATTCCATTCCACAGCACGTCATACCCAGGATGTAAAACTGGGAGTTACCCGGAAGGGATGGGAGACTGCGGGGTTGGAGGAGGTATTGGTCGGTGCTTGGTCGGGATGGGAGGGCAAGGTATGGGTTGGCTGGTGATGAGGTGTTGTATTCTCTTCCCTTGTTATTTCCTTTATCATTATTGGTGGTAGCAGTACTGATTTGTGTTATACCTTAGTTACTAAACTGTTCTTATCTCAACCTGTGGGAGTTGCATTCTTGTTGAGTCTCCTCTCTGCCCCTCCAGGAGTAGGGGGAGGGCAAGAAGGGGGGAAGTGAGTGAAAAAGCTGTCCGGCTGGATTTAAACCACAACATTTGTTCAAGCAACAGTGGCAGCAAAAAGCACAAGCAGGAATGCCCAGGGGCTGTTGAAGGGGGAAGATGAGAAAGCAGGATACTGGACTTGGCTTAAAGCTAAATTAAAAAACAAAACAAAACAAAAAACCTAAAACAAAATAGTTAAAGATAAAAGTATTTTTAAAAATAAAACCCCACCACGATAAATCCTACCTCCAGAACAAGAGCTTATGACAATTCTTCCTTGCAAAAATACAAGTATATGAAAGTATAGTGTGTACTTATATCATTACTTTGAGAAACCCCAGCTTCAGATCAGTTTCTCTTCCCAGGAAGCATCATCTTCTTGTCCAAACCAATACCCTACCCTACATTTTCAATTTTTGCCATTGAAGCTGCTGTCTTTGTTTAACATTTAAACCACATATTTTCATCTAGAAGGAGAAGAGAAATAAATGAGAGTTGAGGGGTGACCACCTAAAAGGGCAGGCAATTGCTTTCCAGTGCCTGTTGTAGCATGCGGCCCTCTTTTTACTCTTCCTCTATTTTCTCTGGAGTCCAGTCTTGCATGCATGTGTGCCCAGAGAGGCAAACTTCTGCAGCACTGAGGCCCTGAAACAAGTTAGGCAATGAATAGTTTTCCCCCTTATCATGCCTGCACTCAGGTATTGACAGAATTTTGTGCGACTGGGCACAGATATTTTCTATATCTATAGAATTGAACGTAGTATTTTCATGGGAATATGCACATATCTCAAAAGTCATTGGCAGTGCTGTAAGTCATAGATATAAAAATCAATCGACAAGTAGACATCCATGTTTTGAGTTTCTATATTTAGGATTTAGATGATAAAAATTATGCTGGATGAGCTTATGGTTACTTAAGAGATTTTGTAGCTCCAAACCTTAGTATGATTAAAAATATTCTTCATGAACACGTGAAAAGAAGTCTGACTTAAGCCATGCATCTTTTTTCTATTACTTTGTATGCTTCTGAATGTGCTCACTGATTGAGATCATTACCAGGATAAAAGTCCTTCAAGGAATATCTAAGTTACATACAAGGGGCGTTGTTGATTCCTTGCGTATTGCTTTATTCACTTGAATGAGTACTAAACCAAAGTCATGTTATGAAATCGAATGCATGGTGATGCTTTAAGTGTTTCATGTAAGCTGTAAAACAGTTTACATGGTCATTTCTCACTGTATTTCCACCAGTGCTATTTGGGCAAGTGGTGGGAGAATGTGTGCACTGGTAAATTTCAGCTTAGTTTATTACCCACTTCTGTCAGAGTCTCCCTAGAGTTTTAATTAAATGAAGTATTATTTACCAATTCTATTGTAACTAGTTTTTACAGTGTGGTTAAAACAGTCTCTGTGTGTCTCTTCAGAAAGGCTCTTTTTTCACTAGTGAGGGTTAAATGATCCCTGAATACTACTAATTTTTTTCTAGTGTTCAGTCATTTCTGGTTCTAATGCTCCAGGGATGTACAGTGCAACAGGGTTGATAATTATGAATATTTTTTATTGATTGAGTTATATTATCACTTCCTTTATTTTCTAACTGCATTACAGAACATGTGGCAGGACAAGTTTTATGTGTGCAGACAGAGTCTGGCCCTGGATACATTTTCAGGTACAATTTCACTCCTTGCTCTGCCAGTCTGCATTGTCGAAGGACAATGTATGTGTACCACAGTCTCCTAGGGATCTCAGTTTAGAGACCACGTTAACCTAATGCTAACTAAACACGAGAAAGCTCTTTTTGTTCTTTAAAGCAACTTGGAGTAACCTCCATAAGTTGCCCTCTCATACAAAATTTAAACATAAGATTTTCTTCACAAATCCAGCTTGTTTTTACAGCTTGCAGGCAAACTTTAGCTGCTTGTGTTGCAGTTTGGAAAGTTTATGTTTCATATATGCAGCTGACAATCGAGGATTTCACATCTTCTAATCTTGGGAAACATCTGACATTCTCTGCAGGTTGCAGAGAAGAAGAGGAAATTCAGGTTCCTGGCATTTTCTATGAATTTCAATTTTTCATTTAAAAAATATAGGAAACTGTAAAGGTTAAATATTTTGTGGTAGCTTTTTTTTTGCTTTCTATTGCTGTTTTTAAACCAAGTAACTATAAACACGACCAGGGTGTAGAATGTAACAAAGACATTTTTGACAGCCACATCCTCCACATCCTTTCAATGTGTTCACCCTAATGGACACGAAATAGTAAAGTGTAATGCAGTGGTTACAGAAGTACTTTAAACACAAATTAAATAAACAGTCAAACAATGCACTATCTCTGATCAGTACTTCAGAACATTTTTGAGTTGTCCATTTCAGAAGTGACTAAAAAGTAAAACCTATGTGAAGTCTGGAGAAAGATAGTGGTTGAACATCCATTAATTAAGCTTTGTATCTATTCAAAAGCCGTACTAATTTTATCCGTGGTCACAATCACAGAACCACCAGCACATAGTAATACCCCGTATTTTGGTAATTATTACTTGCTGGCTTTCATGACCTTTTCTGTCATAATGATAGCAAGGAAGGAAACTTCTTGGCTACCAAGCATTTATAGAAGTTCTAACAACCTAGTGTTCTGGGCAGGATAATTATGCTCGTGTTTGATGCTTAAAATACACCATCGATCCTTAACCCTCTATTAGTTATCAAAATGTAGAAAATGCAGACTTTTTGTTTGTTTGTTTGTTGGGGTTTTTTTTTACATTTTAATCCATGTAATATTAGCTTTCCCTGTTCTTGACATAGAAAAGATTTGGTGTTAGGTTTTTTATATATGTGTATATACACACATATATATACATATGTATGTAATTTCATTTATAAAGGAAGCCTGAGAAGGACTCTAAACAGAGCAGGATTAAGATGCATTTTTCCCTCATTTACCACAATCTACAGATCTTTTAGCAAGCTTCCTATCAATAATAAATGCAGCTCAAACTCCAACGCATTTCAGATATAATCTTAGTAAACATTTTTGCTCCTGGAGACTGGTCTTATAACTGGTCTCTTTACATGATAAGATTCTTGCAGCAGCACACATACCAAATACTATTACTGTGTTGGTACAGAAATCCCCTCTAGGAAAACCTTACGTATTTTATGACATTTTGGTGCCTAGCGCTACCAGAAAAATCCACTGCAATCTTTTTTTGCTAGAAAGCCCCCTCTGCAAACAATGGCTCTTTAAATCATTGAGACTATCCATGTGACATAGGCCAGTGGGCAAAAACTGATTTAAGGATTTTAAATTTAAAAGAGTTTTAAATCCCTAGTAGATGATGTGACTGTGGAAATGGAGCTTATCAGGCTGCCCTGCAAGTCTGCAGGCAGCACAGATCAGTCTGAGCCCAAAGGTCTAATATTTCCTCTTCTAGAAATGGGAAGCAGTATCTATGTGCAATTATTTATGAAGGAGGAGTTTGCACCACATGGAGTTTCATTCTCAGCTGCTGATTTAGCAATAAATAATAGTAATAGCAATGTTTTATCCATGTCAATAGAAAAATAATTTCCAAGTTCAACAGCTATGGTCAAATTATCATCTTCTACACATTCAACACAACTGCCAGCCCCCATGCACCTCTCATGCCCAGGCTGGAATCACTGGTTCCCTAAGAGGGCATGAGTTTTATCTCAGGAGTTGCTCTGCTTGAATCTCCCTCTCCCATTCCACTCCTGTGCAGTCAGCAGCAGGGAGCTGCAGCTGGACACATAAGCCCTTGCCACCCCCTATCGTCACCCAATAAAAGGCTCTGAGTGTGGGGGAATTCAGGAATCCAGTGGAGCTTATGCTTACACATGAAAAAATTAGGGCGAGAGCTTCTGAGGAATGTGTTAACAAGACTTAGCTGAAGAGGTAGTAATTGGGAATTTCAGTCATGGGCAATGTTACTGGGACGTACTTTGTAAACACCAGAGTACAACCATGGGCCATGCAGAATCAGTACATGGGTAAGTGAAGCGAAGTCAGCCAGCTGAGAGGGAAGGAAAATGAGATGGTGGTGAGGGAACCTGGGAGCAGACCAAAACTGGATACTGATGAAGAAGGAAACTGAAAAGGAGTGGGCTGAAGTGAGACAGAAACAAGCTAGCTAAGGAGAAAGCCATGCCTTTGTGAACTTCAGCAGCAGTTCAGTTTGTGAACTTCAGTCAGCAGCAGCTGGAGACGCAGTTAGAAATACGGCTATAAAGTAAGTCCCAGGTGCATCCAGGAAACAACAGTAGGGATCAACACTCAAATAACAATTGAATGCCCCAGGATGAGCTTAAATGAGCTCCTGCACCCTTAAAGTGGGGGAGGAGGTAGGTGGATTCAGGTGAGGCTGGTTGTGGCTATTAAGGCTGTTAGTGGGTGTCCTGGGTTTAGCAGTGGCAGTCATTTTTCTCCTTCTTGGTAGCTGGTGCAGTGCTGTGTTTTGACTTTCGGGCTGGGAA